TCTTTCCCAACATCGCGTTTGGGAGTGTGCTCCTAGAGCAAAGACTATACTCTTTCTAAGAGCGAAAGCCTACCTTTGAACGGCATGTCAGCTCTTGTTTTCAAGTACATCTTGCTGTTTCTTTTGTTCCGTGTTTTCCTGGCGTTGTAGCCGATGCCGTTGCAGCGGTTCTTCCGGCAGCTCAGGCAGATGCCCTTCTTGAAGCGACTGGAATCGGTACATTGAAACGCGAAGCTTTGTTTATCTTGGTTCACGAGGGAGTCCACGAAGAGGTGCACAGACCGCTCGTGTTCACATTTAACAACTTCACCAATTGCTAGAGAAGCAGAGTTGCAAGGGATACGTTTTGTTTAAGGACTTGTCACCCCAGCAGCCGGTAAGACACAATGAGCTACGCCTTTTTTGTAGTCCAGCGTGAGTTAAGTGTGGCCAAACTTTAACGTTTTTCAAACACTAGCCGTTCAAGAGGTTAGTGCAAGGCACTTGAAGAGGACTTGTCATTTAGCATCTACTGTGGCAAGACATTTAAAGAAGATTCTAGACCTAGCATAAGATGACGATAGTTTATCATCAGGTGTTAGAGCACTACTTCAGAATTAAAAGCAGGTCTAGTTTCTAGCAATTATCTCCAGTACCACAGTTTAGGCAGTTTAGAAGGCAAAAGTAGTTTTCTCCGCTCTTGTAAAGTGGATCATCCCCCAGCATCCACCCAGGTCTACTTGTGAGAAGTCCGCACTGACCAGAGGCAAAATAAGTAATGAGAACTTACTCCCATAGGCAATTGCTCCCAAGACATCACCCAATCCACAGCCAGGCTGGAAGTCTCCCCCGTTGGGGTAGATGTCAACATGGCCTACAGGCATCTGGATCCCAATGCTAACGCCTAGTGTCTCCCTGGTGTAGGTGTGAAGGACATCCACAAAGTTAGCGTCATCAGGGGAGAGGCGTTTGCTAGGGTCTGCTCCTTCAAACATAGGGCCAGCCGGATCCAAGCCTGGTGTCAGAAACAGTATGCAAGAAGCCAGGTAAGAAACTGGGTTATTTCGTGCTACAGCCAGGACCTTGCTGCTAGCAGCCCTCCTAACCAGCTGCTACGCAGACAGTCCCTGACTCATTGCAGAACTCTCCCCCAAGATCTCTTTGCCATGGCTCCACTACAGGTGCAATACGACCCAGTAGTAGCACCAGTTTGCTCTGGTGAAGATGGCTCTGGATTGCCTGCTGGAAGCAGTGCGTCTTTGCTAGGTCACAGTGAAGAGATGCTTCAAGAGGCAGCAGTTGACCGAACACCAGAAGAGGTCTAGCACCCCACAGAGACAGCTGCTAGCCAAAGCTGCCTTGGCTACGTTTAGTCTGTTTGCAGACTGGACATATGGAGGGACTAACACAAGTTTAAGCAGCAGCCCAGTAATCCCTGCATCTGAGATCCCGCGGTGTGTTTGGGACTTTGTTAACCTCTGAGCCTCACCCCCAACCTGAAGCTGTGCTCCTGGAACAGATTGCCCAGAGAAGTTGTAGATGCCCCATCCCTGGAAGTGTTGGATGAGGCTTTGGGCAACCTGGTGTAGTGGAGGGTTTCCCTGCCCATGGCAGGGGGGTTGGAACTGGATGATCTTTGAGGTCCCTTCCAACCCAAACCATTCTGTGATTCTGTTTCTGTGATTCCTCAGCCATTCCCCAACTTGGCTGGTAGGTGATTTTTCCTGCTTAACCAAATACAGGTATTTATTGCTAGGCTCTGAGGAATTCTCACTGCCAGCATCACATTTAAATGCTTAATGCAGCCCTTGTATCACGCCCTAAGTTCTCACACGTCGAAATCGGCTTTCCTCTGGAGTCAGAAGCGCTCTCTTCAAGCTACTTTCAGAATGAGAGGTTCAGGGGTTTTTTTGACCACGCATCCCATGGGACAAACTGCACCCAGTAGCTCTCACTTCCATTAGTTTATGAGCTATTATTACAGAAACAGCATCACTCAGAGGCTTAGGATTTGGACAGTAAGGGCTTGAGCTGGATTTGTTTTGACTCATTTGACTTCAAATATTCTCAAGATCAGGTTGTCTTCTGAAAGGTTTTTCACTGAACCTCCCTCATGTTTGGGGTTCAAAGTTAAGACACTTTCTCATGTTAAAGAATCCATACTCTCCGCTGCCACCACAGGTAGGAAACTTGTCATTTCTGACTCTGCAAGCCCAAAACACATTGCAGCAACACAGGAAACGAGTCTCTTCGGGGAAACTCTCTGCTGCTAAAGAAAGGTGAGAGACTGCTTAAAAAGCCACTTGCCTGTAATTCTCCCTATTGTCCCATGGACATGGTTACCAGCAAAGCCAGCGACGTGGGCACCCAGGCTGTACCCAATCAGGTGGACATTCTCAAGCTGGAAGAGTGGGTTCTCCTGCAGGGGAAAAAAAGAAAAAAACAAAAAGATAATTTGCCCCCCCGTTTTTCGAGGCATCTGGCACTGCTCCTATGCACAGGACTCTAAAGTCCAGTTCCAAGAATAGACTGGAAGGAGGGGGCAGACAGGCATGCTTCATTCTTTATTTTGTCGAGACAACTACAAGTCGAATGCTTTGGATGGCAGCTGTGGTTTGCCCCAACCACAATACCCAGCTTCCAACCCCAATTACAACATTCTTTCTTTAAGCAGCATCTGGAGCAGCCATCCCCCAGGGAGCTGCCAGCAGACCTCACGACTGGCCACGGACTCAAGTGCCAAGTTTAGCACCATGGGCCTTTTCCTTCTCCCTTTCCACCCTCTTGCCGAGTCAACCCTAACTCTGCACGCCCACCATGGCTCCCACAGGAAGAAAGACTCCTAAATTTGAAGTCCATTTCAAAGTCACTGACCCAAGCACGCTGCAAAGCCGCATCCCCCAGGAAAGCAGGGGAGCATTTGCTCACACCAAGGGCTGAGCGCAGCACCGTAGCTATGAGCCATCGCCCCGCCAAGCCTTGGGGTTTGGATTACACCAGAGCCTTCTCCACTCATGAGCGTTGGAGCTGGTGTATACTCCATTCCCTTGTGCAACAGTCCCTCGAGGAGCATTACAACAGAGGCTGTTCTCAACTCGCGTTACCTGTAACCAGTCGAGCAGCCTCGCTATGCTTTTTCCAACAATCCGCGTGTTGTTCACAGCATCAGTATAGAGCTGGTGGGCAAGTGGAAGCCAATCCACCACGACCACGTTGGCGTCCTTCTCTCTCTCCTGAAGAGCAGACACCAAGCTGCCCAACCAGGTTTCGAACATGCCACTCATCTAGAAAGAGATCCGGGTGTTAGTTCCCAGCTCACAGGACCCAGATTACATATTCACAGTTAAGTTATTTGTGTATCATTTACATATTCTGCCCCAGCAGTACGCTCCTCGGCAAAACCCACTACTTCCCAGCGCTGCACTAATGACATAAGAAAAACAGGTTTTGAGAGACTCTGGATGTAATTAGCCGCCTTGCCTTTTAAGACAGGAGGGAGAGGCATTTGCTACATGCCACCTTATCGCTTTTTCTCAAGAGTTTCACAAATTCTGATGGATTGCAAAATTATTTTTCCAGCCCTGGCACCTCTGTTTGCATAAGCCCTGGTAGAGTTGATAAGTCCCCTAGTGCCACACACTCGGCCACATCAAATGCAGGAGAAGAAAGCTTGATAAAGCCTGTCTGCCCTCTCTTTCTTTATCAAGGAGACCATGTAGCAGAAGCCAAAACTGCAGACACACGGCTGCAATTACAGAAAGTCTATTACATGTGTCAAGCCAAGTGCCACCTTCATAGTGGTCAGCTGGACTCTAGGGAAAAATCTCACGTTCCCTTTACCACATTCACATTACACAGGCATAGAATCACTTAGGTTAGAAAAGGCCCTTGAGATCATCAAATCCAACCACTGCGGACATGAAGTGATCTTGGGTAGCTGTGAACGAGTCGGGTGATTTCACAGACTCATTAGGTACAACATCACTTAGCTCCGGAGACCTCAGGTGCAGCTTCCAGGAGGCCATAGTGCTTAAAACACAAAAAGTTGTCCCGAATCCCACATACTCTAGAGACTGTCACGCATGGACCATCTACGGGGCGGTTTGCTTTCTCTAAGTGGGCAGACTGGACACTAAGCATCACCCAGAGCCCTGCGGGATCCTCCACACTCACCGTCCAGCCGTGGATGATGAAGAAGGTT